TTTAAGGATATCTTCATTTTGTCTATCGACTATTTACCTGAGGCTACCGTTTATTTTGTAGAAAATTTTTACCAAAACATATTACAATAAAAACGTTAGGCGCTTAAAATATTTTGACAAAATTTGGCCGAGCTCCTGGAGTATCCATACATGCTATTGGCAATCAATCTTTTTATTTATTTTGGCGTCAACTATTGGGTAGTAGTGCTCAGCTCTACCGACTAGTTCTCAGTGGCGACCAGTTACGAAAACAAGTCCCAGTACTCAACTGCTATTTAAAACTCATGTGAATCTCGTAATTGTAAGTCAGGTTATAGAAGCTTAAATTCACATATGAAACTACAGCGCTCGTTGTGATACCAAAATGCTGATGATGCGCGACAACCTTCGTCAGGCCGATCCCGGAAATCCCCGTATTAGGGATCTCAATTCGGAGATTCGGCAACTTGTGAACGTGCATAAGCGGAAGAAATGGGAAGAGCATTTGAAGACCTGCAACTTCGCCTCTGGTATGAGCAAGCTTTGGTCAACCGTGAGGTCGATAGACTTTGGTGACCACGCTTCTTCGGACCCGGAGAGATGCGCGAGCTATTTTAGCCGGCAGTTCATTCTGCATCCTCCGGTGGATAAAGCCAAACGTCGTGTGACCAGAAGGCTCACAAAATGCCAAAACCCAGTGCGCCTCTTGTTTTCACCAGCGGTGAGGCAAGGGTAGCCATCGGGAAGGCGAAAGCCTCCAAAGCCATTGGACCCGACGGAATATGCATGTTGATGCTGAAAAATTTGGGTCCTGCGGGAGTAGCGTACCTAACGGAGGTCCTCAACCTGTCTATGGCCACTCTCGTCATTCCAGACATCTGGAAAATGGGGAGAGTGGTCCCACTGCTCAAACCGGGGAAACCAGCCAACAAGAGAGAGTCTTATCGCCCGATAACTCTCCTTTCCCCGGTAGCGAAGACACTCGAGGCCCTGCTGCTCCCGTACTTTACGATCCACCTGACCCCAGCGAAGCATCAACATGGGTTCCGTAAAGTGCATTGCACAACAACAGCACTTAACGCCATAAACAGGGACAGGGACTCAAACGGTGGTCGGCGAATTACCTGAGTGGTCGACACTCGCCAGTAATTTTCAGAGACAAACCTAGAAAGCCACGTAAAATTAAACAGGGGGTACCACAGGGAGGTGTCCTGTCCCCTCTGTTTAATTATCTGTTTAATTATTACATCTCAAAGCTTCCTCAGCCACAAGAGGGTGTTAATATAGTCTCCTATGCTGACGATTGTTCGATCATGGCGTTTGGGAATGGAATTGATGACTTGTGCTCGAAAGTAAACGGTTACCTCGCCGAACTTTCTCGCTTCTTCACTGCAAGAAGCCTTGCCCTATCCCCTGCGAAATCCTCGGCAACACTTTTCACCACCTGGACGAAGGAGGTCAGACTGCAACTGGGTATTCACGTCGATGGCGTAACAATACCGACGGTGAATAACCCGAAAGTCCTCAGAGTTACCTTCGACAGTCTGCTCTCCTTCTCGGTGCATACAACCGCAATTGTCAACAAAGTACAGAGCCGCAACAATGTCCTCAAGTCGCTGGCCGGCAGCACTTGGGGCAAAAATAAAGAAACGTTGTTGGCAACATACAAGGCAATTGGCCGACCGGTTCTAAGCTATGCAGCGCCCGTATGGTCGCCGATGACTAGCAGGACGCAGTGGATGAAGCTACAGACCTGCCAAAACACGGCATTACGAACAGCGACAGGATGCCTCCTGATGACGCCCCAACATCACCTACATGACGAGGCCCAGATGCTCCCAGTAAAGGAGCATAACATAATGCTCTGCAAGCAGCTCCTTGCTGGGAGCCACAGACGTGGCCATCCCAGCGGACAGCTGCTCGCGGAAGAACGCTCGCCACGGCACTACAAGAGGCATCTTTACGAACTGGCGGACGAAGTCCAGAGGTTTATCAAACAACCTCTGGACCTGTCAACCTACCGACAGGCCCTGAACGGCATTCACAGGTAATCAGTCTCAAGTTATGCAGACTCCCGCACTGTGAATACCGTTCTAGGCACACAACCACCGGACGTGGACGGGACAGAACTTTGTCTGCCTCGGGAGACCCGCACTACAATAGCCCAACTTCGCTCTGGCTATTGCAGCTACTTGAGTAGAATCAACGAGGATGTGCCCAACCAATGCCGGGCATGTGGAGAGTCGCCACATGACTCCCGGCACCTCTTCACATGCCCTGAGAACCCCACTCAGCTAACGCCCCTGTCCCTATGGACAGCCCCTGTGGAAGTCGCACACTGCCTGGGCCTCCCCCTAGCTGAAATTGACGACAACGTTGATGGATGAACCGCCCCGAACGGGGCTTAGTAGCCGCTACAACAACAACAACAACAACATACCAAAATGCAAGTCGGCTACTTGAACTTAAAATTTAATCCGATGCGATTATTTAATAAATGATGGGAGATCTTTGATGTTTGTTGTGGTTGTGACTGTATAAACATTCCCCAACAAGTTTTTAAAAATGTTGCGAAAGGGACAGTTGTTGTGGTTCGGGTCACGCAGAACCACCTGTCGTAGGCACGGTTTTTGTCAAACTCAGCTCTTTCAGGCACTCACAAAAGTTCTCTACTCGAACCACGGCAATGGCGATCGATTACTCGTTTCGAATCCAATCAAATAAGATGGAAACTGTTTTATTTATATTTCGATCACGAATGAATGTGGTGAATCAGGCCGTGTTGGAAACAACGTTGCCTCGCCTCTGCTCGAGGGGTGCATGCCAATGGCAGAGTTATTTTTCGACGCTTGAATCCCTTTGCCACCACGACACTGCGGAAAATTCCCCTTATTTGAATTCTGCTGTGATGCGTCTCCCAAATAAAACAGTGATAGGCGGGAATCTTCGGTCCCAGGGCTATGATCTCTGTTTCTATGGGGAAATATCCGAGCATTCTTCAGGCGGAGGTTTACGCAATTTTTATGTATGCGGAGCTAATGATACATCCTCCATCCATACACCGAAACGAGAGAATCATAATCTTAAGCGATAGCCAGGCAGCGCTCAAGGCTCTATTTTCATATGAAATCAGATTATCGCTGGTCCTTGAGTGCAACGAGAAACTTAATTCCCTTGATATGCAAAACAACATAGAATTGGCATGGGTACCATAGGGAATAGAGCGTAATGAGACGGCGGACTGTCTCGCGAAAAAGGCGGCAGCTATCACTACAGTTGGACCCGAAACTCCTAGGGAAGAGCTCAGTAAGGAGAGGAACGCACTAAGGGACCTAAATTGGCGTGGCTCAAAAGGACTGCGCCAGGAAAAATAGTCTACTGGGATTCCAAACCTGATTAACCTCCCAAAGGGGAAATTTAGAATACTCACAGGTATCTTTACAGGACACTGCAGACAAAGTGGGCATCTGTTTATGCTAGGAATATAGTCCAATGACCTACATATGTAGGTTCTGCGAATCGACAGAGGAGACACCACTACATATTCTTATCGAGTGTGCTGGATTTGCAGAGGACGTGAGAGAAGACTAGGCTCGATGTGGCCAAAGCTTGAGCACATTCCATTCACTCCCTACCCCCGAAGGCACTGCTGCTGTTCTTGAGGAATTTAGGCTTTCAGGAAGCATTGTGAAGAGGAGAGTGTACAATAGACCACTATGTCGCAGTGCATACCTCATTTCAATATCGACATATCTATCTAAATAAAACAGTAGCTAGCTGTGAATCGCATCTTTCATTTGCCTGTTGCGGGAAGTTTGCCTTAGGCCAGAGTTTTGAAGATTGTACAGTCTGATCGCATTTCAGATCGAAAACTTTACGTCATTGAGACATTCCTACTTGTTAGTAAGCGTTTAGCACCTTGCTAGTTCGTCCGCTGCGCCTCGTTTCCGTAAATAGTCTGGTACACGAAACGATAATTTTAGGTTATTATATTCAATGAAAACCCCTGCACTTGTGGAGTGGTAGTATGCACCTCTAACCACTCAGCCGCAGTGGAACTATAAAAAAGAAATTTCAGTTACTAAAACGGTTAGCATCAAATGTTTTGTCACTCTTGACGCGCAGTTCATCGAGAATATAGAAGGGCCCAGCACCTCTATTGCGAGTGTCGACTGGTAGTATTATTATTATTCCATTACTTATCGCTTTTCCGTGGTATTGTGGATGTCGAATTTCGTTCAAAAAGCGACTGTGAAAAGTTCTACAGACAAACAGTTGTGCGACTAAAAACTATACACTCACTTATTGAACGAGAAAACGATTCACTTTTGTAAGCACTGAAGAAAAGTATCAATATTAGATCAGTTTTAAGAAAATTAGGGTTAAGAAAGTCTCGCAAAAGTGCTTCATTTTTGGCAAATGATTTATTAAATCTCTGAAGGGAGTAGCTATCGTTTTGCAACTTTAAACAGAATAATTAGGATAAACGTACAAAAACCATAAGATATCTTTACACCGCGAAGGAATAATGCAATCTTGCTCCGCAATAGCATTTATGAACATGTAATGAATATGACAAATTAGGACACAAAAATCGTAGCACAGGTTTTATTATAAACGTTTTATATTTATAAAATATCATCGTTTGCTAACCACAAAAATCTAGCATAACTAACAACTCAAAGACTATCGAGAGTTTTATTTAAGAAACAACCACTTTCGACTTGAACCGGACTTGAGTTTGTTAAAGCCTGCCTGTACTTGCCTGTTTGTTCATCTGTGCTTTGCTGTTTGCGCTGCATTTCCTACGCAACAAAAACAAACAAAAAATCCGCTTATAAAATAAACAAAATATATCCTACTTATGTACTGATTTATGTATATTTTTTGTATCTCGATTTTCCTCGAATTGTTCAACTACAATTTTTACAATACAAACTTATGTAAATGTAAAACTCTATGTACTATTGTACAACGAACAACACACAATACGAACTACAAATGCGTGAAACATCCAAAAGGTTGCCCGTAAATTGGCCATGGTTGAAGCTGATTTGGAACGTGCCGAGGAACGCGCCGAGCAAGGAGAGAAGTACGTTTTTTCTACATGAATGAATGCAGTTTTGCTCCACTGTCATCAATATACACAAAAATAAAATGGGAGCACTAACATAATTGTTGTTGTTGCTTTTGTTTTCTTCCTATCATAAATAATTAAAATTACGCAGCTGCAAATTGCAGCAAATTAAAAAAAAAAACTAAAAAAATCTGTTTAGCTTTAAGCGATGAAAATTTTTTATTTTGTGCCCGGCTGACCCGACTAACTTACGAAACTGCAAGCAAGCAACCTAACCTAAAAACTTTGCAATTTTTATTTTTTCTTTGTTACTGTTTCAAGTTTTGTTTTTTATTTTACAATGTTTACAAAAAATATACATACATATCGCTAGCTTAGCGCAAAAGTTGCTAAGCCCATCGTAACAAATTTGACGAAAAAAGTTCTCATAGCCATTTTCTCCTTCCATATCAAAATATGTATGATTTTTCACAAAAAGTGGATTTAGCAATTTTTAGCACTAAGCTAGTGATATGTATGTATGTATGTATGTCCATATGTACATTCATTTGCCTGAATATGCAAGATTAGCTAGCTAGTTAGAGTGAAATAATAGTAGACGATGAATTGGAAAAATGTGAATAATAAACAAATTTTATGCAAGCTTTACAATGCATGCGCCTATTTGTATACCAGCAAAGCAAATTGTATGTTTGTATGTACAAATAGAAATGTCACAATCACGCAAAATCCATTTTTTTTTTTAAATTAATAGTAATACATTTATCTAGTAAGCCATAGGTGCACAGGCGTACATTTACATTTTTTTCTTGCATAAATTCACATTTTTTCACATTCATGTGTCATTAAAATACACCAAAAAACAAAATCACATATTTAAACAACTAATGGAATTTTTTTGTCAATTTTTCCTCCATTTGAAACCGCTCTTTATGTGTATGATTACCGCTAAATGCTAACCAACTGAATATTAAAAATCGTTCCGAAACGCTGTAACAAAAAAAAAAAACAAAACAACATTAACACTACACTCGCACGCTCGCCTGCTGCTGTGTTGCCTTTCTGACACTGACACCACCACCGTTCGCTCGTTGCCCTGTGCTTGTCCTGCCTTGCGTGTGTCCTTTGTATGCTGTTTCGCCGCTCTGTGGCGCTCACAAACCGGAACTGGAAATACTTGTTGAAAAACAAAGGTTGCCAGAAAGTTAGTCCTTATGGAACAGGATCTGGAACGTTCCGAGGAAAAAGTTGAGCTTAGCGAAAGGTTTGTGCTGCTTCAAAACGTTTTGTGTGTTATGCAATTTGTTTTAACTAACTTATTATTAGAAATACAAAAAAAAAATACATACATATTTATAGTTATAGAAATTTTAAGATTTTTGAAGCCAATTTCAAAGTTGTGGTCAAGTATGCACATGTATCTCATAATTACGTCTCTAAAACTGGCATATGGTAAACAATTTAGTACGAATTTCTTCACAATGTCTGTTTTAATTCCATTTTTTAAGGTTTTAATACCAACTAATGGCAATAATAATTCATTCAGTGTTGACATTTTGCTGCACAAAGATCGACTCGTTTTTCTTCCCTTTAAATCAGTTCCTTCGACGCAGTCACGTATTTGGCGAAAAATTGGTTTTGTCGCGCATTTGCTTACATATATTCGCAGTACATTTGAAAGATATTTTTTGTGCTTACCAATATTTTTTTTATTTTCTTGTGTTCATCATATGTTGGTATGTGCATATGTACATGTACATATAAGAGCAGCAGTAAAAGTAATTCCTGCCGCTAACAAGCATCAACTTTTAACTGGTACTTCTATTGAAATCATCTTTTTTTTGGCACTTTGGCGTAGCGTCGTTGTCGTTGCAGTGATTTTTTAACACATTTATTTATTCAATTTCGTTTATTTTTTATTTTTTGCATTTTTGAAAGTGAAATCACTTATTTTTACACGGCCGAACGAAAAATGGTGAAACGCCAACTTAAAGTTTAAAGGTCCATAGAGTATCAGCCGTTAACGTACTTTCAATATTTACCTGTGCCCACACACACATACATCGGCATTTGTTGATGATTCGCTGATTCCTGTAGAGTTGCCAGTCATTTGATTCCGATTTTTTTCTCTGCATTTTGCTTTTGCAATCAATCTCAGTTTTTCGTTGTTATTTATTTAATTTTTTTTTTTGGTGTTGGTGGATTTGAAAGTGACTGCCACCAAGCAAACAAAAACAATTCACGTCCGCAAAAAGAAACCATAATTCAAGTGACACTTGGCTTTGCATTTTTTTGGTAACCACTTACAATGCGCGACTTTAACTCCAATTTTTATTTGTTTTATAGTCTACTGGCTTTCAACGAAAAAAAAAAATAAATTCAAAAATAAATTCCCCACGTTTATCTGTGACATTTTTTCCCAATATTTCTTGTATATTTATTGGCAAATTTGTTTGCCCCTTTTTTACCAGCATAAGGAATTTGATTTGTTGACACCATTTTTTAGCGTCTTTGTGTGTGCAATCTTTGGCTTGCCGCGGGCAAAAAAAAACAACAAAACAGCGAAGTCGATGGCAGCAAATTTTTAATTTCTTTATTTGCACTCGGTTAATTTTTTAACTGTCGAAAATATTCAAACATCATAATTTGCATAACAATTTATTTCACTTTGAATAGTGATTGTACTGCAGAGTTTGGCTTCAAATTTTCTACGAATTTCTGTTATTATATGCACTCAATTAGATTTTGTTATTAATTGTTTTACTTCTTTCAAAAACTTTTCATCTAATAGCAAAATTGTGGAACTTGAGGAAGAACTCCGCGTTGTCGGTAACAACTTGAAATCCCTTGAAGTTTCAGAAGAGAAGGTCAGTATGCATAATTTTTGTATGAATATTGAAGAAAAGTATTATTTTAATATACATATATATTTTAGTTTAGTTTATCTAAATTGTTTTAAAATCTGTAATTTTATTAAAAATATATATTATAAGCAATGTGTATATGTACATAATTCTGAAAGTCATGAGTATTTTGATTATACTGGCGATATATATTGTTATAATAAACAATTAAAATATTAAAAGCAACGTAAAAATACAATGTAAACAAAGTGACATCTTATGCCGGGCATCCGCCGGACTTCCAATCGGCATCAATCGAAATGTCAAAAATACCCCCCTTCCCATGGACATGAAAAAATAATTGTGGGTGTTCACACTTGCTAGGTCATCAGGTTTTCTGGTTAAAAAATTATTCAAGGTATTCTTCGAAACGGGCAAACCTCGTAAATAATTAGATTTTTCTTACAAAATTAAGTAAGTTTGCGAGGTTTACATGGTTACGAGGCATTTACGTGTTTTATTCTTTAGTGCATTTTGTTCTTGTAAATTGAATAAAAAGTATTACCACATATCCAGATAACCAGGCAGGTGTGAACATTTAAATGGCACAAATTTTTGTGATTTCATTGCCTAGTGGAAATACGGCATTACTCTCAACGCAACTTTCAGAGTTACACTACCACATTTCTTCTAAGTAATTATTTAAATTGATTGTTTTTCTATTAAATTACTACATATTCTTTACTTCTGATATAAGTATGCAAGTATTTAATATATTTACATCAAAAACTTTTTGAAACATTCAGTAGCATTACATATATTTTAGGTAGACAGTAGCGTTATATACTCATCTTATTTAATTTTTGAAATAAAATTTTTCATATATTTTTTACGAAATCTCATCAAAAATGGTTAACGAACCCTTGGTTTTTTGCCAAATAAAAATCGACTACAACAAATGCGCTGTTTTAACTACATAAAGGCCAACCAACGCGAGGAAGAATACAAGAACCAAATCAAGACCCTGAACACCCGTCTAAAGGAGGTATAGTAGAGAAGCAGCTTAAAAAAAGCAAAAAACCAATTTTGCGAATCGACTAAAAAATGGACCCTTACTCCAGTGATTGAAAAAGTAAAGAATTTCTGCTAATGAGTTCTTTAGCTATGCCACAAACAGCGTTAATTTTACACGAGCGCGGGCATTCATAATGTACCAGCAATGTAATGTTGACAGCTGAGCAAAATGCCATTTGCGTTCTTATGGGGAAAAGATTTTTAGAGCTCCGCCCTAAGCACTTTTAAAAATGTTTGTATCCAGGAATAGTTGCCTGTAAGCTTCGAAATTTCATTTTACGTTCTCTATGCAAAAGCAAACAAACTTGCAAACGCATTGGAGTGTTTGGTCTGCAATTCTGCTCGTGTCACAAGCGCCTTTTTCGTAGTTATGAAAAAACCGCACTGAGAAAATATAAAAATCGCGCTGCCATATTGGCTCTTCTGCTCTGCGTTGTTCTCTTTTTTTTTATTTTACAAACTATGCACTAACCTATCTTATGTGACTTATGTTATTTTTTGTATATGTATTTTTATGTGAATAAATATATATACATTTTTTATAGCTACTAACCATGTTAAAAATATATAAATTATTTGCATATATTTTTGCAGTGCATACGTATAAAATATCTACCGATTTAATTAAAAAAAAAATCGCTTATGCATTTTTATTTATATTTATCTTTTTGTTTATTTTAATTTTAATTATTGTATAATTTAAAAAATTCAAATAACCAACCCGCTAATATAGTATATGTATATATATTCACCTCTTTTTTCGTTTATTTTCATGTTTTATTTGTTGCTGTTCACTGTTCGCTCGCTTGTTGTTGAATTTAACCTTGTTGTTGTTGCATCATGCTTAAAAAATGATTATTGCACCGCATTCCACGACGAAATCAAAATTCAAACTGCTGCCAATTACCAACCACAACAACAAATGAAAAACGCCAATATCAACAACAATCAATGAAATGTCAACAACCGCTATCACCACCGCAATTAACTAATACTAAACAATAACAACAACATAAAATGTGAAATCCAACCAACTATTGCTTGCATGTATACGATTTTGTGTTGTTCTTTTACACATATTATTAATTTTGCAACACTAAAAAAACATTACCGCCAAACGCCCACCTACTAATCTAAAATCTAAAATGCTCCAATGCAACCAATCAACATCACTATTTGTTTGACTTTATCATGGATATGCAAAAAAAAAAAACAATAAAACTAAAATTATATTACATGCCACCTGCCGCCACTGCCGAACACATCGAAATGCTTTTCCGCGTTATTATCTACAATTAATGTCTCCTATTGGCGGTATCTTTCTTTTACATTTTTATTACACCTTTTTGTGTTCGGTCGTTTGAACAACGGGATTGTTCTTTTTGTTGGCCATTTAATTTCGCTGTACGATCATCAAAATATGTCGTAAAATTGCGATTTGTAGGCCACGCAAAAAGAGGAAACTTTTGAGGGTCAAATAAGAATTTTGGATCATCAGTTGAAAGAGGTATTAATGGTTTATGTTTTTAGCATAGTTACTGTACTATTATAAGAGTAGCAATTAAACACAATTCTATTTATGAATCTGGTAGTTGTAAAGTATTTTCTTAATGGTATTTGGGTCAAATATACACATACATGGTTATGGTATAACTAAAATTTAATTATACAAGAACTGTTGGAAACATTTTAATGCGATATGTATAAAATTTTATGTGGACATAAACTTTATTTTTATTTATATACTGCTGAATATTGGATCCTTTATTGATTCTTTATTACATTATGAGCTGCGATTTCTACTTCGCCTCGGTACTTAGAATAGAACTCCATATGAAGGCTTCGGTCGATATGTCTTTCAGCGCTCCCGCCCCAAAATATAAAACTTATAGCGGAAATTCGGAAAGCCTGAAATTTGGTATACGTCTGAAACACATTTTGTGGAACTTTACGCTTAAGGTTTGTGCTCTATCTTTGAGCATAGCTGCAAATCAACAGATACACCATTTACTAAGTATATCCTCAAGTAAAGCCATATTTCTAATATAATTTGAAATCCATGTTTAATTATAATATCCTGAAATCACTATGAACGTTTCTAATTCGCTAAATTCAGCTAACCTAACCAAACTTTTGTAATTACGATAATTTATACTACTGATGAAAAATAGCAAATTCTTTACAAAAACGAACCAAATTCGCAGATTCGATGAATTACATATGTACATACTTAGCTTCCCGTGCCATACTGCTTTTGCTTATGTTAGATTAGGCTATAGAGATTGTCCCAGACAAGGGTTGTAGTGGCGCAATTAAGAGATTTTCCTCTGCAATACCACGAATTGCAAATGCCAAAGAGCTCCTCCAGGAAGTGAAAGAAAATGTTGCCATCCTAGCCTCACGAACGCTAGACAGTCGAATAGAAAGTGTTGAGATGATTCCCCCTCGTCACCCTCTTGACAGCAGATACAGGAGGTATTAACCTTGCAGCGTTTGTCCAAATCGCACAATAGCCAATAGAACTCCCAGCAACAGCGGGAGCCGAGGTAAGAATAAGAACCTCCCATGACCGCGCCCGGCTCACCCCAGAACGGAAGGAGCATGCAATTGCGTGTGTCCCAGTATTTTACCAGCGATTGCTGAGCTTACATGAGGCCCAGCTGTCCAAGAGTGAACCGCAGGAGGAGGAGAGGCGTTCCCGGCTGCTCCCCATGCGGTGATAACGTTTCAAGGGTACTCTTCCTTGCCAAGTCATCAGCCACGTAGTTTAACGGAATGTCACTGTGGCCCGGAAATGAGCCTGATTAGAAAATACTCCGACGCGGTTGATATAGAGGTCGGACATTCCCCGACCAGTTTCGAGCGCAACACCTTTGCGCTCAGGGCCCTGAAAGCCGCCTGACTATCCGATTATATGCTAGCCTTCAATAAAATATTTACTGGATAAAAAATTTTCAGCTGATAAACGCAAAATGTATTATCTTTACTGAGTGTTGCCGCATAAAAAAATTTAAGACAGCCTACTAGTTGGCGCTGCTGGTCTCGACCTCAATTAGAAGTTCGCTTGTTTTAAATACATACTTTTGTCATCAACGTTTTTTGTATTATATAATATACATAATTTTCATTACGCTTGCTTATATCCACATGTTTTGTAGCTTAAAAACGGTATTCATGCGTAAGTTCTAAAAATACTACTGGCATCTACCCGAACTTACACACTTCCCCAGTTCTCTTACCTATCCTTTTAAGCAATAAACGCGTGAATACCACCCGCATAAATAATCTATGCAAAAAAATATATTCAAAACAAAAATACATATATCGAATTGCACAAATTGTTATTCTCAATTTTAATTAATGTACATAAAAAAGTAATAGGAACAAAAAGGTGTCCACTGTAAATTTTTCAATATTTTTAACCTGAGCTTACATTTTGGTTTTTGTTCTAATCTACATACATACAATCCATATGTATACATACCTTATTGTTATTTTGTTTCCGTTCATGTTGTAATGCATAGATTAGTCAAAATTAGAAAAAAATATAAGATAGAAAAACAAATCTAAATATCTACCCAAACAGCAACAGCGATCACCACACAACAGAAAAATATATCATGGCAAGTAGATAAAATTAAAGAAAAAACCTGCAATTAAACTAGGTGGAAGCAAGCATATGCCGCAAACACCAGTTGAAACAGTAGAGTGCGGTAATTCGAAAAAAAAAAACAGAATTCTTTCACATTTTCACGCTGCGCCAGACGACCACACAAAAACTGATATTTTTATATATAGATACATATATATTTTTTTAATATCTTTAGTAAAATTTTAAGCCCAACAAATGTACACTTGCATAAAATTGAAAACAACTTTTTGTGCATTGATTGCCAATAGCGGTGAAAGATCTTTCAAAAAATGTAAAAGTATCATAATAATAATTGAAACAAATTTTCCGCAGCACTGTGCGCGAAATCATTGCCAACTGGTAGGCGCTGTAACGTGATTGTGTTGTGTAAAATATGTGTATGAATAACTTTTTGCCGTAGCTTATAAATATATTTTGTAGCAATCCCTCTAGTTTACTTCTTGACAGCAGTATTCACATAAATACATATTTTGTTACACCTTTTTACATAGAATTTAATATCTTTAATACTTAAAAATTGTTTTTTATGTTTTGATAGTTTTCCTAAGCTTTATTTAAAAATGTTTTTTTTTTTTTTGTTTTGTGCAATGATCAAAAATATCAGTTCTTCGGTAGATATTTTATTACTTCGTGTACTCAATTTGGCAGACCATAAAACAAAATAAAATTTATGGCATACGATTTTATAAAAAAAAAATAAATCATTGATATATTTTTCTCTTGTGTTGTGTGCATCGCCGTTTCTCCAACGCCTTGTTTTTCTGCTCTTATTCGTGCATATTAAGGCTCGTGCAGCGCAAAAAGAAAGCGAACAGGAGATTTTTCAAATGAAAATTAATTTAGAAACTGTAAGTTGGACTTGCCTCGTCGAAGCTACTTATATTTTTTCTTGTTTTCTGATAAACCAATGCAAACCACAGTTTATTTCCATCGTAGCTGCTGCTGCTGTTGGTGAAAAAAAATAATTTGTAGCAACTGTAGTTGGCAATTTAACCAAAAGAGTTTTTTTTTAATAATATGCTGACTTCTGTTTAGTCTAAAACAAATCAAATTGGACAACAACATATAAGGCAATTAAAGCTTTAAAGTTGGTACTACACTTATGCCCCCACTTAGCGGTACGTATGTACATATGTACTTCTAAAATGTATGTACATATGTGTGTATGTAGTAGGTAGTGTAGCCACATAATTTGTTTATTTAGTTTACAGCAAAACTTTAAACTAAAAAATACTAATAATTGGGAACTAATTGAATAGCTATTGATTATTACTCACTAATTTCAATTAATTGAATTTTTAAATAAATTTTTAGTTGTACCATTTTTTTGTTTATCAAAGTCATATAGATTTTGAAAAAATAACACCACTAACAACGTATCTGCATATCTTTTAACACAATTAACATTTAATTTTATTCCATAAATAATTTAGTAAATAACTGTTAACCGAAAATACCCAAAAAGACGAGTGTTTTACGCAGAAAAAATTTTCGAGAAAATATTCTTACAAATTAACGCTGGTTTTGGTAGTATTTGAAAAGCTTTTTCAATCCCCAGAAAAGAATTGAAATCCCCAAAGAAGATATAATGACGAAAATGTAAAAAAAACTGCAAAATTTAATAACAATAAATATTACGATCAAAAATTCTAGCTTGTGCCTTGTAACTAACGAATAAATTAAAAGACAAAACATGTTGAAATATGTATGTATGTACATATATGTATTGATAAAATTTATTTTATATTCTCGTCATTATGTCTGTCCATTTTTTACTGGATTCCCATAATTTAACTTATGAAAAATAGTTTTTGTACAAATGCCAACTTTTATCTATGCATAAACTAATAAATTTTTATTTCCCGTTTTCCTCATAAAAAAAAATGCAATTCTACTATATGCGAAAATCATCAATAAAAACAACCAGGCTGAAGCCCGTGCTGAATTCGCTGAACGTTCCGTTCAAAAGTTGCAGAAGGAAGTCGACAGGCTCGAAGGTATGTCCATTAAAGACCTATTTCATTTGCTATTACGTATTTAAACTTAAAGTATCAGTGTAGTAAAAAATAAAATAGTTGACAATAATTAGTTTTAATAGTATGAGTACCATGTATATAAAAATATGTACAAATTTTGAATTTTAAACTTCAGTAAATATATATACTACACACTTATGTATTTGAGCAAGTTTTTGCTGTTCAAATAACACTTTTTAATTTCCATGTACATGCATATCGTCATCTGAAATGCAACAAGTAATTTTTAAGCAACAAACATAACCGACTTCAAATCTCATATAAAAATATCAGATTATCGTTAATTTCTTCATGACCCAATGATAGATTTTAAACCAAATTAGTATGGGACTACCTGTGAGGTTACACCCCTCCTTTTCTTTAAAAAAAAAAAAGAATTATAGAAATCGGTTAACGTGATCCAAAGTTATACATAAAAAAAAAATAAAAATAAAAATCCGAAGTCGTGACTAATAATTTTTCATAACAATCAAAAAGTGAAATTTTAAGTTTTACGACCTTTTACATTTCGGCGAGATTTTTGCAATTCAGGTGACGATATGTATGTATCTAGTATTAGCTTAGATGTTGTAAGCTTATCTTTTAGTTACATTAATTAAGTACAGTTTTCTTCATTTTCGAAACACTTGCATTTACCCGATTGTTTGTGTTTTCCAATGTATGGTTTAATTGTTTTACTTTTGTCAATGGGCATTAAATTACAAAAATTCCAATAACAAAAATGGGAATTCAATAATACCCGTAATAAAGTAATGAAAATAGTGTTCAGCTGGTATTTACCTAGTGAAAATTTGACATTAGACGATTGTTTTTAGAAGAAACTGGCATTAACATACTTTTTTGAGCTCATGCAATTTTTATTATGTTTAATCTGACTGTTTTAAAGTTCCTAAAAAGTTCAAATTATCCAAAAGTTAATGTGCAAAAATTTATAAAAAAATGCAATTTTGTAATGACTTAAAATTTTGACTTTAATCTCACCTAAATTAAAGATTTGAATTTATATTTTACTCTGCAGTCGTAAACCTCAACTTTCTTACTTTAAAATCCATTAATAACGCTGCTAAATTATATAACATAAGGAAGACGCGAAATGCGTTGAAACGCTCGTAGTTACTAGAAATTGTAACAATTATCTGTTAATGAGATTTGCTAGTGGAGAAAATCTTTTATAAAAGTAATTGAATGCTTATTTTAAAAATAACTATCGTCGACTAGTTTAATACTGTCATAAATAGTGTTATTTCTTTAAATTTATTTATTTGTATTTATTTATTTATTTGTATTTATTTATTTATT